TGAAAAGGTCACTCCTGCTGACCAGATCAAACGCCTTTGTCAGGTCAATGAATGCGAGGTAGAGTGGTTGTCTCTGCTCACTGCACTTCTCCTGTAACTACCACAGTGAGAATATCATGTCGACAGTCGACCTTCCTCCTCTGAAGCCGCACTGTGCCTCCGGGTATATACATTCTCTGCGAGTGACTGCAATCTGTTTAGGACGGCCACGCATGTGAAGACCTTGCCGACGATGCTGAGCTGGGAGATACCGCAGTAGTTGTTACAGTCACTGCTGTCTCTCTTATACAGCTTTGTGATATTGGCGTCTTAAATGTCCTGAGGGAACGACCCTTTCACCCAGCACTGAAGCAGAAGTCGGTACCGTCTTCTTACCAGCCTTGATGACTTCAGGTGGGATGCCGTCACTATCTGGGGCCTTGCTGTTGGCAAGGGTGTTGATGGCTTTGCTGAGCTCCTCAAGGGAAGGTGGGTCATCAAGTTCGCCCATTACTGGTAGTTGGTTGATGCTCTCAACTGCTATGTCGGTAACGATGTTTTCCTGGGAGTACAGCTGTTGGTACTGCTCCGTCCATCTCTCCATCTGCTTTCCACCGTCCGTTATGATGTCACCTTAGGCAGACTTCAGCGGCGCAATCTTCACAGCGATTAGGCCGGGCGCTTTCTTCAGACCCTCGTACGTTCCATGGACGTTGCCACTGTCAGCGGAGAATTGTTATAAGGTCAGCCAGTAAGCATTGGCCTAGCGTCGAGTGGTCTTCTGGGCATCGTTTCTGGCGGGTCTCTCTTGTRCTTGAGCAGTGCARCACGCTTGTCTTGATCAAAAATAGGAGCCAAAGAGAATTAGAAGAAGTCGATAAGTAGAGGTGTTATGGGGTCACGTTTTCTAGAAAGCATGATAAGACGGGCACAGTCATTTTGGAAAGCTTGTATAGGCGATCCATCAGATATGTTGGGAGGCCATGTAGTAGAGAATTTCAATTGTAAAGTTATGATAATATAAACGAGTGTACGAGGATTTCTGTGGATTGAACTGACAGGAAGTTTCTGATTAGAAATTCAGTTTTGTCCTTGTTCAGTTTAAGTTTGTTGAGAGTCATCCATAGATCAATATCACAGAGACAAGCTTTAATATTGTTTAAGGTAACATCTAGAGCGTCATCATCATTGCAGGAGAAAGGAATGTAGATTTGAGTCTCATCGGCATAGAAATGAAATGAAATCTTATGCTTTCGGAGAATATAAGCGACAGGAGAAGTGTAGAGGACAATTGTAGAGAACCAGGCCCAGGACGGAGCCTTGAGGGACACCACAACTAAGCGGMATAGAGCATCATCTATTGATACAAATTGATAGCGATTAGAGAGATAGGATTTGAACCATTGAAGAGCACTTCCACAGACACCAAACTTAATTATAACGAAGTCGATTTAGAAGARTTGACTTGATCGATGGTATCAAAGGTAGCAGAGATATCGAGGAACACCATAGCAACGCATTTACGTCTGTCAAGTGATTGAATAATATCATTAGAAAGTGCAGTCTCACAACTGTGGYAGGGTCTGTAGCCTGACTAGAAGGGCTCGTTGAAGGATAAGTAGGCGTTAAATTGATTATACAGCACTTTGTCTTAGTTTTCAGTTTTTTGCCATCTTGAAAACCATCGGAAGCCTAGGCACTATTACCTAAGACTTAAGACTTATCTAAGACTTAATGCAAGTAAAAAGTTGGARAGATTTGTGGATTTTTAGTTTCAAATAAAACAAGAGGGGAAAAAAAATCAGTTTTTTGCCACAGGGATCCCATAAATTGGATAAAATACTCCCCTTATAGATCACGTGACTTACTTTTTGAGACAAGTATCAATAAAATATCTTAATTACTTCTAGTTTCATGTATTTCTTGGGAAAATACGTGAGTTGAGATGTTTAAGCGGGTTTTATATCCTGAGCCTCGTTTCGATGTTAGAGCATGCTCAGTATTCCCCATCAAGTGTGATTTCGAGGTGGCTCCATATCCAGAATTKTTCAGGTCGGCGAACTTAATAATCCTGCCAAGTTTCATACTTTTATCATTAATTTGAACAATTCAACACTTTTTTGGACGTTAGCAGCCGTACTACTGCCCGAGAATAGGTTTTATTTCGGTTTACACGAGAATAGGTAAGCTTATGGCTTGCCGAGATTAGGTTCGAGAGAAAGCCTTGTAATTTCCATTCAAAACGTTACAAAGGATTATTCTTTGTTGATAATAATGTCAATAAAACTACTTCGAAAAGATAAAATAAGTCATCATCGSGCCATATCTTCAACTTTAGCGTAATCCCGCGAATAGGTTCCAGCTTCACTATGGGTCAACACAATGTGAATTAAATCCATTGAATTAGTTTTCACTCACCAATTGACTGTCCTTACATGTAAAACATCTTCATAGTCTTTAGGATAGCTCTTTAGTTGATAATTGTTCTTCGCTTGGGAAACACAAAAGCGACTATCAACTTCACAAACCTACTATTATTACCTAGGTCTTTGAGAAAATGGCGCCAGAACAAGATAGCCACACAAAGGATCATGGTCTAGCTCAGGTAGCCCAAAGATTGATTTTCTATACAGGTAACTAAGTAACAGTCAATGTATACTTTTTCTTTACTTTCATGTAATTGTAAAATGAAAAACAAAAAGAAAAAATAGTGCTTCTTTTAATTAATTTATTGGAAGGCAAGCCTTATAAACAATAGCATGTTTGAAGGTTGACGTCACATAATAAAAATTTGTGAATTTTTAAAACTGGCCTCCATATACTCCAATTTCGAGTTCTGGTTTGCTCTGTGTTAGCTTCAAAACCAAGTAACATATTCTTTTGTTTTATTGATATCCTGCAAAAACGCATGGAATTTGAAARGAGAGACAATAGACTTGATATGAAATCTCACACTTTTATTCTCACAATTATAGGAATATTTTGTGTGCAAATGAGGCTAACACAGAGCAGTGGACTAAAAAACTGGACTATTCTGTAAGAGCATCATTTTGCAATACATTCTTTATAAATTTGAGTGACCTACTTTCATTTCAATTAAAAGTTCATAGCCAAAGGAACCAGAGTAAATTTACAAGCATAAAAGTGCTAAATAAATAATATATTTGATCTGCTATATAAAATGGAAAGAGGACAGTTAGTCAGACATTTTGCAAACTCGGCAAACAGCTATTTTTTGTCATGCACTTTAAGGATATTTCAAAAATATAAACAATTTGATAAATTGATTTTTTGTGGCGTCACACTTTGGTGCTATTTTGGCAAATCCTAATACTTCTCTGTGGCATATATCCAGGGATGTCAACCCCAAGAATCTATGTTTGCAGTRTCAGTGTTGACTGAATTGTAAATTATTTAATTAAATTCAATGGTTAAAACCCCGAGATTGTTACATAACACCAATACTGCAAAAATAGCTGGCCATAGGCTTAATTATGGTAGAAAAGCCACCCTTTTTAAAATGGACAATTTTTTTATTTTTCTCTATTTACAAATAATTCACGAATTTCTATACAAATATCCTCAGTATACAGCATGTCTCTTCCTAAGTTTGATCTGCAAATAAAGAAAGACACATTAATAAGTGATCCACAAAAGAAAATCTCTAATTATATTAAATAATAAAAAGTTACCAAAAGGCCAAAAAATACACTGCAAATCACTTTTATCGCTTGTATGTTAAGATATTGAATAAAAATTAGGCATACACCACTTTCAACACTAATTTATTATTGTCAACTTTAAGACCCCCACTCTTTCTTTCTTTCTTTTTTTTTTCTCTTTAGTTTTCTTTGCAGGGGAGTGGGGTAGGGAGACAATTATATAGGTAAGCTTATAATGGGTGGGTTGATTTTCCTGAGCCATGAGCTCTCCTGAGAAAATCTGTGCCAAAAACTGCCATTTTAGCTGTCAACGAGAAATATTTGTACAGAAAGATCTACTGTACCAGGAGGAAAAACAAAGACTGGAGTAAATGCAAAAGATCCACTGTACAGGGAGTTCATGTCTACAAAATTACTCCAGTCTTTGTTTTTCCTCCTGGTACTTCAAGAGTCTCAAGAGAGTGTTGGAAAGTTCATTAACTTTTTTGTGCAAATAAACAAAACCCCATTTCAATACAGAGTTTTGGACATTCATTCACCCAAAATAAGAACACTAAACATAGTATACTACTAGCCTCCTCCACAGTCAACTCTTTTTTCCTCCTTTGGGTTTCCTTTGTAACGGTCATAATTACCGTTAGGGACTAGTGAAGAGCTCCCCTCAAAAAGACAGGAAGCCCGTGATTCTTAGTGATGCCTGTGGAGGCTAGTATACTACAGCACAAATAAATGTTTCATAACATAGTTTTGAAAATAGTTTTGTTTATTGTACATACAAAACAACTAATGAATGTTCCATCACTCTCTTGAGACTCTGCCTGTGAGCATTATTGTATGCCTGTTTGCTTATCACTGTTAATGAACAACAAAAGTTATTTTATTCCAACTTCAATGTTGAAGAAAATYTTACATGAATAATATCTATATATTTCCTAGTTAATTTTGTACTTTACTTTTGATCATTGAAATAACAATTTCTTGCACACTACATTTGTTTTTTAATTATGAAAATCTTCTGAACCATTAACAGTAAGTTTTCTCCCTACTTTTCTGTGGAAATCATGCTATGTGCTTTTAATTGGCAAAAATTAAGGTATGTAGAAAAAAATTGGTCC